CAGCCTGGTTTCTCAGCTGAGTGGGGAGTGAGGGCGTCTGGGCTGGTGATGTCCCGGGTCCCGCAGAGCTCACAGCCCTGGGACTCCTGCTCCCTGCACCGGTTTGAGGACCAGCTTGACCAGGCATGGGAGACCCTGGGGACAGCTGTCCTCAGCCTCAGTGCCGGAGGCGCCGACCAGTGGCTGCACTAAGCAGGTCTAGACTAGACCCCGCCCTCCTGTGCCAGCCCTCACTGTGGGCTGCAAGGCCCCTGGGGGCAGAGGAAGGGGCTAGGGTGAGGCCCGAGGCTCAGGTGGAGCCCTCCTGCTTCCGAAATGCCCGTTTCAGTACAAAAGCTACAAGGCACCCAGTTGTGCAAATAAGTTTCTTCCCGGGAGGTGGAGAGGTCCTGGCCCCGTGCCCAGCTGCCCCCGATAGGCCGCCAGCCTCCTGCCCCCGTGGGGATCCCAGTGGTTTCCTGGTGTCCCCAAAGGGCTGTGCTTTAATGAAAATGCCCACTCCTCTTCCGGGAGGGGCAGAGCTTCGCACTGTGGGTTACAGGGATCAGCTGGGCCTTGGAGAGGGTGCTGGGCACTGTACGGGGTCAGGCCTGCCCTGCTGGGAATCTCAGCCCACCCTCCCTCCTAAGCCACAGGAAGCTGTGGACCAGCTGAGAGCAGGGGCCGCCCCTGCCCCTCCCACCCCTGCCCCCTCTGCAGCTGCCACTGCCTCCAAGCTCCCTCCTCTGACCCTGCTGTGCCCTCACTGGGGCTGCCAACCCCAACAGCCTGCTCCGATTCGAGCACCGAGCCACCCCACCCACTCTGACCTCAGACAGCTCCCCAGGCACCAGGGGGACTCGGGGAGCCGTGGGTTCACTCACACCTGCTTCGGCACCAGCCACGCCTCCCGGTGAGGCGCTGGGTGCCCAGCAGCAGACCTAATGCACAGTGTGAAGGGCTTGAGCAGAATCCTGAGGAACCTGCACATCTTTCTGCCTGGACAGCCCAGTCACAAGCAGGGCGAGGGGCTCAGAGGAGAAAGCTGTTGCAGGGATGGGTCTGGGTGTAGCCCTCGGCCTCACCCTTGCTTCCCCCCCCTCGCCCCCCCACCCCGTGCTGGGCCTGGATTCCAGCCGAGGCCGTTAGGATTTTCAGCAACAAGAGTTGAAACCTAACCAAAAGGGGGGTGGGACAGAAGGCTTAGAGTCAGGACTCCAGCCCAGCACCGCTGAGACCTGACCACGTGGTACAGTCACACCCGATTCCACTTTCCATTAGGTCGTAGGCACAGGTCCCCGAAGGACCGTCCTATTCCATTATCATAGAGAGAGAAATACAAACCCGAGGATGTGGGTTTTCTCCTTCGTAAGTGGTTTTGTCCCTAAAGCAAGACAGAAACCCGTGACGAGGCGGCAGCGGAAGTTAGTGGGGAAGCTGTCAGCTGGGACATGAGCCTGAAAGCGTCAGGAAGACGTGGGTGTGAGTGTGGCCTGGGGAGGGCCGGCCCTGTGAGGGCAGAGTCCATTCCAGCTGCGTTCCTGGGAAGGGGCCTTCCTTCCAGCGCTTTCTGCCTGGCCGCACCCCAGAGCAAACTGGCTTCTGGAGTTAAGGAAAACAGGGTGAGGTTACAAACCAAACCCCACCTTGTCTGCCTGTCTTTTCCGTTGTCTCTATAAATATGTGCATATATATAGACATGTGCATATGTGGATATACACATTATTTCGATACATCGTAGTAAAATAATGCTATTGTGTTATTGCATAGAAGAGATGGCTTTCGGGAATGAGCTGGCTTAGGTGATGGTCTGCGAGCGCTGGCGGCTGCCTGGGGGCTGCTGGGTGGCGGGGGCACCGCTGCCGTCGGACTGCTGCTCCTCCTGCTTGCGGGTGTGTTCCTCGTACCACTCCTAGGGCACAGGGCAGATGGGGGGTGGGCGCTGAGTGGGCGGCACCCTTCCAGCCGGCCCTGCACCTCCCAGCCTCTGCCTGTGGGGCTGGGGGACCACCCAGGATGGAGGAGGTGGGCTGTCAGCTCCCCCTCCCCGGCAACAGGGACCAGGGCCTCTTCCAGCTCCCGGCAGCGCAGCTGTGAAAGCACTTTGAGGAAATTAAACAGCTCACCTGCCTCAGGCCATCGTGTGACATTTTCAGGGACGGGTATTCAGGTGATTAAGGAATTAAAAAACACACCGTGTGTTTAGAATCTGAACCACAGAACTTAGAGCTTAAAAAACACCGAGAGGGCCTAGCTCTGTGCCCCCTCATCTCACGGAGGGGAAACCGAGGCCGGGGGTGGAGGGCAGACCCGAGCGCGGGCTCCGTGCCGTCACCTCTCACAGGTGAGAAAGGGCCAAGTGACCTGCCCACGGCAGAGCCAGCAATCCGGCCCAGGGCTCCGGACACCGGAGCTCCCGCTGGTCCCCGTCCGCACCACCCGGTGCCCTGCAGCCTCCCAGTTTCGGGCGTGAGCACCAGTAACGACTGGGTTCCCCGCTGTGAGAGCGCCAGGAAACAAGGCAGCTGCTGGGAGGGGACCCTCCTGGAGCCCCGGGACCCCCGGGGGGGAGGGGAGACCCGGTGGAGGCGGCCAGCGGCTCTGTCCGGGACGCAGCGTGCCGGCCACGTGGTGCTGGGTAAGATGTTTGCCTCAGCTGGCAGTGTGGGAAGATGGGGAGAGTTTGTAAAAAAACACAAAACAAAAAATTGACTTCTCCCTTCTCTTAAATTAGAAAAAACCCAAACAGTAAAAAAAACACCCAGAGACCCGCTGGGCACAGCAGGCCTTACTCCTATGGGCAGTGAGGCTGGGCCCGGGAGGGGCCCCGTCACCCTGGGCGGCGGGGCGGGCGCTCCTACCCGGATCTCCTCCTGGTACATCTTCAGGCTCAGGTCACTCTTGGTCCTGGATCTCCGTCCCAGGAACACCATGGTGCTTTGCTGTGGACGAGCAGAGGCTGCAGGCCCCACCGTGCCAGGCCCGGGCACCCACCCCTCCCCCCCCACAGGCCTTGCCCGCTCCTCTGGCTTTTGCTACGATGCCACCCAAAAGTGTCACCAAACCTTGAGGGGCTGGACCGTAGGGGTGGGACTCCACTCGGCTACAGCGCCCTCCTCCCAGCCTGGTTTCCTGCCCGGATGGGGCGCTATCCTCACCTCGTTTCTCTCCATCTGGGAGAGGACCTTGAGCAGCCGGGGGATGTCCGCCGCCGCGCCCCGCGCCTCCCGGGACAGCTTGAGGACAGCGAGCAGCTCGTCCTTGGACAGTTCCTTCTCCACGGTGATGCCACCGTCAACTGCAGCGGGGGAGGGGCCTGGGCTCAGGGGCCTCCTCCCTGCTGTCCCTACAGGGTTCCTAAGGTCCCTCTTCTGCCCCCCACCCCCCGCTGTGGCTCTGCTGTGGGTATGGGGATCGATGGTCAGGCCAGCAGCTCACAGGGGACTGTTTCGGAGGCAGCCTCCAAGCCGAAGGAGAAGGGTCAGCCGACCGGTGTGGCTCAGTGGTTGGGCCTGGACCCAGGAACCACAAGGTCTCCGATGCGATTCCCAGTGAGGGCACATGCCCGGGGTGTGCAGGAGGCAGCTGAGCAATGTTTCTATCTCTCTCCCCTTCTCCCTTCTTTTCTCACTAAAAATCTATTTAAAAACAACGTTTTTAAAAAGGGTCAGTCAGCCTGATAGGATAGAGACTTGGAAACAAGTAGTAACAGGTATGTGGCCCTTTTGAGGGAGAGTCTGGAAAGGATGGGGGGTCAGTCTGCGGAGAGCTGCGCCACCTGGAGGCGCAAGGGGATCAGGAGCCGGGACCTCCCAGTGCAGGAGAGCTAGGGCTCTGCAGGCTGCAGGGTTCCCGCCCGCTAAGCCAGGACCGCGGTGTGGAGTTTAGAAGCTGGAGACAGTGGCTGAGAGGAGAAGGCTAAGAGTGAGCAGCCTGGGAGACAGGAGACGGGGACAGTGGGCCGGCCGGCGGTGTATACCAGAAGCCTGTCTCTGATGTGGGATTTTTCTTAAGCTGTGACGTGTATTGTTTTTCTTTGAAAAATGAGATCGAGAGCATGTGTCTGTCACTGAGTATCTGGACATCAATGGCAGTGAGAGATCTAGAGAGACAAGCCACCTACATAAGCTGAACTGCCGGGCAGACAGAGCCGAGTAGCAGGCAGCGAAGGCTCCCACCCCTGGCACAGACCTTCCGAGTCCTGGTTCTTGCGGCTGAAGTTCATTCGGAAGACAAAGGCCTCGAGGATGAAGGCCACGATGATGGTCATCACCACCTGGCCGGCAGGGGGGGCAGAGAAAGGATGGGGTGGGCGCTGCTTTGGCCCCCGCCCAGCAGAGCCGCGCGGACGCGTCCCGGGCCTGTCCTCCCCGGGCTGCCGCCCAATGGGCAGGACGGCTGGAGCCCCGGGTGATGGAGGACGCACGTCCAGGCGCAGACTTACCATGGTCACAATGTAGAAGGTCATGAAGTAGAGGCGGCTCCAGTGGGAGGTCTGAGAGGTGACGCCTTCCTGGAGGCAGAGGAGGCAGTGAGCGGGCGCCTGGGGGTGCTGTCCACTCAGGCTTCCTGTGGCCCCGGCACTGCCAGGCTCTTTACAGACCCCCCTCCCGCCCCCCGGTTAAGGAAGACACAGGTCCCTGGGCCTAAAATTCCTCTGCCCCACAGGCCTGGATGGTCCCCAGGGCTGAGCCTGCCCCGAGTGGGGTGGCACTTGGAAGAGTTTAGGGAAGGAAACCGCGCCACAGTTTCTTGACTGGAAAGTCTCCCCAGTGGGTGGGAGGACAGAGGCTGTGCATCCCCTGGCTGCTGGGGGGTGTGGAGCTGGGACGAAGGCCATGTCCAGCCAAGGAGTGCTCCTGGGCCCCCGCAGTGGCCTCCCGCAGAACGCTGACCCTGTGGCCCAGGACACCCCCCCCCCCCAGGCCATGGGAAGGGCAGGGACCCCACACTGGGTGAAGGGAGACGCAGAGCTGGCCCCAGAGGGTGAGGGGAAGGCGCTCCCAGGAGCTGGCCAAGGTCCTTACCATGATGATGTACCAGTTGTTGACAACTGTGAGCTCGAACAAGGTCACTGCCAAAGGGAAGGGGGAAGGCATGATCAGACCCACCATTTCAGTCAGAGGTCCCGGCACCAGGCACCGAAATGAGGCGTCCCCATCGCCAGCCTGGGCCTCCCCGAGCACCGCCCCACAGGCAGTGCTGCCACCTTGCCTGTCCCCAGCAGGGGGTGCCCTTTGCCTGCAGCATGGGATGGACCAGGGCTTGGGGTGGGGAAAGAACACACAGACCTTCCTCGGTGCAGATCTGGGGATCCATGAGGCTCCCCGTCCTCGAGAAGCTGTGTCGGGCCTGTCCATCCGCATCCCTCCACTCCCCCCGCCCGCCCCATCCCCATCCTTTCCACAGAACCCGGAGCAGAGCTGTGTGGGCCTCCTCTGAGCCATGAAAGGGCCCTGTGGCGGGTGAGAGGGTGGTGCCCTCGAATCAGGCTGAACCCCTCCCGCAAAGCACGAAGCTCTTCGGTCCCAACACTAATAAAGTGTCAGCAAAGGAGTAAACCTGGCGGCTGCGTGAGCTGGACTGGCCCGGCCCGCACCCTAAGCCTGGGCTCTCACACACTCCCTCTGGGCCAGAAGGGACCTGAGACAGTGGGGCCAACAGCTAGGGAGGGAGAGGCCACAGACAGCCCTGCTCCCCTGCCTCTGGGACCTGCGGGGCTACGGCCAGGGGGTGCCCCCTGGGATCTCCGCACTCACCGAAGCTGTTCAGGATGTTGTCGAAGTTGTTGAGATAGTAGTAGCCGTCCTCCACGACCGTCCTGTTGCCCACCGTGTGGTTGCGCCAGCGGTAGGCGTCCGCCACGGTGCTGGTGCTGCCGGGGAGACGGGCAGGAGGGACCGTCACAACACAGCGGGTCCCCCCAACAGGACAAAGTGTTTAAGGAAACCAAGGTCTGAGCAGGGAGCACTGTCCTGGCCCGTTTCCTGCCCAGCAATCCCCGTCTCTCTGCTCTCGCTGCCTCCAGCCCCCCACCCCTTACCCGCCTCCACTGGGCATTACTCTGCTGCCGGCTGGGCCTCCTCCCTCCGAGCCGCCCTGAGACACTGCTGGGAGGGCCCCCTGGCTTTGCCGCGGCGGGTGAGGGCCGCACCAGGGAGGGGAAAGGGCCTGCCAGGGCTCCGGCCCGGCCAGGGCTTCTCCGAGGTGGCTGCCTCTGTTCTGAGAGCTGACTGGCTACTTTTATTTAAATCCCTGATGGCTCATCAGTTAAAATCCATGCGATGTTTCTGCAAGTCTGAGCCTCTTGCCAGGCACCCACTGCACCCGACTGCAGGGCGGCCCTGGAACCTGCACTTTTAAGCAGCGGCCCTGTGGCTGGGAAAGCCTGTGACCCGCTCTCCTCGGCGGCCGGCTCCCAGCTCAGCCTGACTCAGCCGCCACCAGTGTCTCCAAAGGTGTCTCTCTATCGGCCTCCAGGCCCGAAGGACTCAATATTCAAGAGAACACTGGACCGACTGGCAGGGGACACTGCTGTCATCCTGGTGGCCGGGAGGAGGGAGCAAGGGGTCATGGGGGGCAGGCTCCCCACGCCGTCCCCTCAGACCTTCCCATGGGTGTCCATCTGTCTTATCCTAACCGGCCGCCCCTGGAGAGACGTGGGAGTAAGCCATGGGATCAGGCCAGGCCACACTTGGTTCTCGCGAGGCCTGCAGCCCTCGGCCCCACGGGCGAGCTGATGGAGGCCTGGGGACAGGGAAACTGCTCAGATGCCCTCGCTGCAGAGATGACTGCTTCCGGGTCCCTCCCTTAGCTACTGACTGACCTGAGCCCTGGAAGCAACGCCAGGGGATCGATTCCAGGAGCCCTGGGCCAGGCGAGGCGGGTGCTGCCCGGCCCCGACGCCCTGAGGCCCCGCGTGTACTCACTTGCAGCAGTTGGGGTAGAGGATCCCGCAGAAGAACTCCATGCCCACGATGGCGAAGGAGTAGTAGAAGATGAGCAGGGTGAGGCCCAGGCTGTGGGAGGGGCAGACAGTGACGGCGGGCCGGCCAAGAGCCCACCTGACCCACGGAGCGGATGGGGGGAGGCCTGCCCCCCAGCCAGGTTCTCCGCCTGGGAAGTGCCTGCAGGGAAGGGGCCTCGTGACTCGGGTCTGGGCTAAAACACGGCTCGAAGGAGGACTCTGAACAGATGCCCCTGAACGGAGATTCACCCCTTACCTGTGAAGGTGGACTCACAGGTGACCCCTTACCTGTGAACAGACACAGGTGGTGAGTGAGGGACAGCTCCCTGCCCGCCCCACTAACACCTCACACAGGTCGGCGGAGGGGAGTGGGGCCAGGGAGACCTGTGCTGTCAGCGGTCAGCCGCCTCGGAGAGCCCGCAGACCCTCGATCCGTCCTTTCCGGGACTCCTCTCCCGCCCGCTGCCCACCCCCAGGGGGCACAAGCCGCAGGACGCCTGGCCCTGGGCCCAGGCAGGGCAGTACCTGGCCATCCGGGGCAGCAGCTCAAACATGGTGTCCAGCACGTTGCGGTAGCGCTTTTTCAGTTTGAACAGCCTGAGCAAGGAAGGAGGTGGGTCACGGCCTGACATGGGTGCGGCCGCAGCCCCCACACAGCACCAGGTGGAAGGCAGGCCCAGGGCCCTCCCTCAGGACACAGGGCCGGACAGGCCTGTCCCTGCCGGGACCCAGAGCCGTGCTGTGGGTCAGCGTCTTCCTCGGTGAGAGGGGGCAGCGTGGCTGTTCACAGTTTATAAACGCAGCCCGGAGGCTCAGGGCGGGCGAGGCCCTGCTCAAACCAGGGAGGCACACGAGAGAGAAGGGAGCAGAGCCCAGGCTGCAGGAAGCCCAGAGCCTGGCTCAGGGGGGAGGAAAGGGCGTTGGTGGGAGAGAAGCTGGCATCGGCCTGGCCACCACAACTGGCACAGCAGCAGGTGCTGCTACAGATGGACGCCACCCTGGACCCAACCTCCACCTCTCCTCCCAAGATGGACAGGGCAGGAGGGTGGACGTGTGTGGGATCGCAGCTGGTAGTCAAGAGGAAGCCAGGCTCCTGAAGACGCAAAGGGCTCACCCCCAGCTGGGAGGGGCGCTGCCGTGACCCGGGGGAGAGGTGAGGCCGAGCGAGGGCTTTTCCCGACAGGAGGCTGTTCCAGACAAGCAAGGGGCCCTCAAAAGCCCCTTTGGACCTCACGGCGCTGCCTTCTGGTTGAAGACGGTTGAGCCCGTGTTTCTGTGGCCACAGCAGCCAGCGCCACAGGCCACGCCCACCCAAGCCCTGCCTCCCCCGACAGTGCCAGGGGCCGGTCCTGGTGACATGAAATGAGGAGAGGAGACGTGCCCTGGGCTCAGGCCCCGACCCCAGCTGTGAGTCTTCTCAGGCTCTCCCCGCCCTCCCTGCCTGCCTGTCCCCATCCCAGCCCTGCCCGCCCGTCCGTCACCTCAGCAGCTGGAGGGGACGCAGGACGACGATGAAGTAGAAGGGCTCCATGTTGAAGGCCAGCGCCAGCAGGCCCAGGAAGGCGAAGGCTGTGACGGAGAAGTCGAACCTCGGAAGGAGAGGGAGGGAGAGGGGTCCTTGGGCCCAGCCGGCTTCCCCACCGCGGCTGGCGTCCCGGCCCCGGCTCAGCTCGCCCTTCCCAGGAGCCCACGTGCCAACCACAGCGAAAGCCAGTGTGCCCCGCGGAGGCCCGTGCAGACACTGGCTATACTGCTGACTGCCTGCCCTGGCGAGGTCACCGAGTGAAGGGGCAGGGCTGGCAAGGGGACCCCACCTGGAGGCCAGCGAGCCCTGACCAGGGCCGAGGGCCTTCCTACAGGTCTGCACGGGACCCGGGCTGACTGCTTTCACGCTCACAGGCCTTGTGAGTGTAGCCTGATTTCACAGGGAGGCCTCTTTAAGGGGCCACTAGGGACCGCGTGAGGCCTCAGGGGAGCAGGGAGGAGGGCCTGGCGAGGCGGTGGGCCTGCCTTCTGTGGGCGGCATGGTTTTATGGAAAAGGGCTTAGCTGTGTGGGGGACGGTGTGGAGGGTGAGGCCTCAGCAAGAGCCCAGCTGGTGTGGCTCAGTGGGTGAGTGTCGACCTACGGACCAGGAGGTCACGGTTCGATTCTGGTCAGGCCACATGCCCAGGTTGCCGGCTGGATGCCAGTGTGGGGCGTCCAGGAGGCAGCCGACCCATGACTCTCTCCCATCATGGATGTTTGTTTCTGTCCCTCTCCCACTCTCCCTTCCTCTCTGAAATCAATAAAAATATATATATTTTTAAAAAGGCCT